TAACTAGGTACTCTATTTTATGAGATTCTATTAAATTTTTCACTGATTTATTACATGCTTATTATAGAAGCTTCCCACAGCTCAGAATGGTATAAAGAAAAATTACTTTCCCTCCACTGCTCTTGCTTTTTCCTGCCCCCGCCCCACATACATCCATATACACCCACGCATGCATGCACGCGCGCACGCGCGCGCGCACACACACACACACACACACACACACACACGACTCCCGATTTCCACTCCCTAGAGATAATCTTTATGGATAGTTTCTTGTAAAATCAAATACTTCAAAAATGGTAAACACTGGAAGACAATTTATAGTTTTAAAAATATATTAAATTAAAGAAAAATCAAGAATTATCCCATGCCACTCAGGGTTGGTGAAATCTCAAATTGCCTTGGAACAACAAACTGACCAATTGCTGGATGAGGGAACTGAAATCATAACCCTGTAAACAAACTGCCCAAAGTGTGCAGCTAGCGACGGCCGACAGCAAAGGTGGAATAAAGCCTCCAAGGAAGAGCATCTCCTCCTCACGGTTAACAACTCGATGACGTTCTTCAACATGTTTTAATGATTATCATACCTTCCTCTTCACAAGGGATTGATTTATTATGGCTTAAATTTAAAGAATACTGGTTTCCCAGTTTTGAATCAGGCTTAGATTACAGAACACATAAAATCAATGACTTTGTTCTAGGCAAGAAAAAACACAGTGTTCATTTAAGTGCAAAAGAAACAGTCCTGGGGAAAAATTTATGTAGTTCATGCTAACTGTTCCCACCACCAGTTTGCCTCCTCTGCTCCTTCCCTCATCCCTGTCATCAGCACCACCACAATGAACACTTCTATGGCACCTTAAAATTCACAAGCAACTTCACATACTATTTATTTTAATCCTCAAAACAATTTTGTCAGGAAGAATAAACAATCTTAGCTTCTTAATTTGCAGATTAAAAAAACCCTGAAGCTCAGAGCAGAGAAGTGATTGGCCCAAGACCATTCATCCTGTAAATGTACACTTGCCCAGGTATACTGATGACTTCTAAGTGTCTATATCTCCAGCTCAGATCTCTCCTCTCAAGCTCCAGGACCCACAATCAACATTCAACATCTGCACTTTGGAGTTCCAAATGTGGTTAAACTCAGTTTCCAGACTAAGTCCATAATATTCTCCCATAAACTTTTTTCTCACTCAAAGGTTTTCTTTCTCAGTGACTGACACCATTATCCTTTCAGTTGTTCAAGTCAAAAGCCTAAGTATCCCCCCTAACTACCCCTGTCTGCTCTAAATATATATATAGACTTCATCATCACATCCTATAGATTTTGCCTTCTGAAGATTCCTCAAATCTTTCCATTTCTTGTTGTCTTCACCATGAACACTGTCCAATACCTCAGCATCTCACATTGAAATCATTTCCATGTTACACCCCGCCTTTCCCTCACCACCCCTCCTCTACTCATATTCCATGCTGCAGCCAGAGTGATTCCCCTGCTTAAAATCTTTGGTTGGCTTCCCAGTGCTCTTCAGATGAAGAAAAGAATCCTTAGTGTGGACTATGAGGGCCAGTATGATCTCATCCCTGCGAACTGGCAAGATAAATGAGCTCTTTCCATAGTTTCAGAATACCATGATGTCATTTAAAAATGAATATTTAAGCTTCTGTTTTTTAATAATGCACATTTATTAATTGTAGAATGAAGCTTGCACATGTAGCTATTTTTAAGCATTAGTAACATATGAACACATATAAATCTTATTGTCTTCCTGAATTTCTTTCTTAAATATAACCAAATTCATTCTATTATACCACATGCATTAATATACATGCAAAAATCCTGTTTAATAAAAGGCTAATATGCAAATCAACGGAATGATTGGTCACTATGGCGTGCACTGACCACCAGGGGGCAGACGCTCAACACAGGAGCTGCCCCCTGGTGGTCAGTGTGCTCCCACAGGGGGACCACTGCTCAGCCAGAAGCCAGGCTCATGGCTGGTGAGTGCAGCAGCAGTAGCGGGAGCCTCTCCCACCTCTGCAGCAGCTCTAAGGATGTTTGACTGTTGGACATCCCCCAAGAGCTCCCAAACTGCTAGAGGGCACAGGCCAGGCTGAGGGACTGCCCCCCCAGTGCATGAATTTTATGCACTGGGCCTCTAGTATAGTATATATAATGAAATATTAGGGTGGGGCAAAAATAGATTTACAGTTGTGAGTATGTGAAACACAGTTCATTCTCATGTTATTATTTTATTGTATTATATTATTCCCATACAAACAACTGTAAACCTACTTATATAATACTAGAGGCCCGTATGATACTTATATAATACTAGAGGCCCGGTGCACGAAATTCATGCACAGGGTGGGGGGGTCCCCTCAGCCCAGCCTGCACCCTCTCCAATCCGGGGGATCAGGCCTAAACCGGCAGTCAGTCATCCCTCTCATAATCCTGAACAGCTGGCTCCTAATCGCTCACCTGCCTGCCTGCCTGGTCGCCTCTAACTGCTCCCCCTGCTGGCCTGGTCACCCCCAACTGCCCCCCCACCGGCCTAGTTGCCCCTCACTGCCCCCTTGCAGCCTAATTTATTAACATTGCGTTCCCCTTATCATCCAATATTTTATACACAAGACTGGAATTGAATACAACTGAGCCACAGACAAGTCCCGCCACCCGCCCACCCCAACACGCAACCACCACCCGCTAACGGTAAGAGGAGCATGGGGCGGATTATGAGAGCGTAAGCGAGATACGAAATTGTGGGACAAAATAAAGAGCCGGACGTCGAGACACAGGCCAGGGGTATCTGGGCTCGCATTTAAGACGCAAAATTCTATAGATCTCATCTGATCTTACCTCACTCTAATGTCAGATACTGCATTTGTTAACAGTAGAGTCATGGTACTTTCGTACTGATACTCTAATGGGATAAGACTTGCATTCATTGGCATTCCCCCTTCACTTGATGG